AACGGTAGATAACGAGAAAATATAATATTATTGTGTAAACTAAACGCGATACGATTGAACACCAGGCGCCTCCGTCGACACTAAACGATACAATAATTTCGGAGTATACCTACCGTCAGTGTACAGGTTAACGTTAAGGTCACTTGGGTTAAGTCGTAAAATCAAAAAGAATCCTATCTGGTTTAACCTAACCTAACCGAATGCGTAGTAAACTTGTAGCTTAATCATTTTTTATTGCTTTACAAGCCGTTTAGGTTTTTAGCAGTTAACGCTAAGTTTTTCCACCGTTCTCTGTCATATTATGTTATGGTGAAGTCGGGACTGAGTGTAAGTTCCATCACAAGTTCTCAAACACTATATCCATCCGCCTACGTACACTCGTAGAGTATGGGCTAACTTGTTTCTCGTTCAGTAAGAAACTACAAGGGAACTGAAAAAAATGACGACCTCCTAAATGCGCCGACTAGATACGAAAAAAAAAAAAACAACCCACACGCATCACAGTAAGACCAATACATTATCCTCGCTTCGCTCGGAATCTAAAATGATCTATAAACGTGAAAAAAATGTTTTTCTATTTGTTAGGATCGGGCGCGTCGCGCTGTTCGGTTAATATGATTCAGTGATGAACACGCGGAATATAATATTAAAATTACCGTTCGTTAATCGACCGGTGGAAAACGGCCGTACGGACACGCGTGCCCGAATCAATATCAATTTTATTCTTACCGGTAGGTAATAGCGTGTATCTTTTTTTAATTGACAGAGTATATATATTACGTACGTTTATAGGAGGTAGTCGTTATCGCGATGGAAAAATTAGACGAAATAATTTCCACGTGAGGCGAAAGACGCGCGGCGTGCCATGCGATCGGATCGATTAGGTATGATAATACCTAATAATATAATACCACGGTATCGGGGTGATGGGTTGTCCGGTTTTTTTTTGTTTTTTTTTTTTTTTTCTGTTAGGAACGACTCCTCTCGACATCTACACCACCTATATAATATTATGTTTAACAATATTAATATCGGGTTAATACACGGCGGGCGAAAAGAAAGAAGAAGAAGAAGAAGAAGAATGAGAAAAAACACGTGAAAAAAAGGGTAAAAATCAAAAATGTGTACGCGTACAAGAACCAAGAGCTGGTGCGTGGCGTACGGATACCTCTATACGGGCAGCACGAGCTATGGATGTTCTGGCGCGCAGTGTATAAAACACACTATTAATATAATAATATTATATTATACATCACCTGCCTGTGAAACGGCGGAGGAGAAGAAGAAGAAAAAAAAAAAATAATAATAATAATAATAACCCGACCCCGAGGGTATTTAATTATTACCCATAGGTATATAGGTACGTATACAAAACGGGTACGAAAGATACACAAACGATTATGACGGCGGCCACTCCCGCTTTCGACGGCTAATATACCTCTCGGGAATATTCGGTGTTTACATTAAATTAATATGCCGGATAATATCTCTCGGAAGATATTTCGAAAAAAAAAAAAAAGTAAATGTAAAAAAAAAAAATTACACGAAAAAAGTGTGCGCGAGCACCTATCGCTCGTACACCCAATGATATCCCGGGAACTCGATAATATATTGTAATAGCATTCGCGGGTACGCGGAAACCGGGAGAGACGAAACGCTCAAGACCCGGAACCGTGAAATACCGTATTTTACGGGAATACGATGGGTAGCGTCGGTACGGGAACGGATTTTCTCGGGAACACCGTAATTTAAGGAAAATTCGTTTTGGGAACAAACCGTTACAAGACGGATAAACCGAATCGGGCAATTGTTCCGTAGGGAATAAAAATACGAGAAAAAAAAAAAATGAAAAATCCGGATCAGTTTAGTATCGGTTTCGTTTCGTCGACGGGAAAATCTAGCGGTTTCCGGACTTTGCGCATAACTATAGTAGTATCCGCGTTCTTATCGAAGGTTTCCGAAAGGAACAATTGGTGTGTGTATTGGTATATTATTGTTTTAGTACACGCGTCTTCTTTTAATATTCTCATTTTGTTCAATTAGAAAACGAGTCGGATTATCCAAACATAGAAGAACAAGTAATGCGAAAACAATATCTGAGTTACGGGTGCAAAAATGCCGAACGCAATTTTAAAAGAGCTTAGCAGCCAAAGTTAGGGTCCACATTGGGGCGGTTAAAAGGAGAATCGCAGAGTGGTGAGTAGGAATTCCAAAATAAAATTAACAATAAGAATTTAATTTGAATATAATCGAATATCTTAATAACTCTGTCGTTTCTGTAGTTTTCAAGACTAAAATTGACTTTTCTGAAATCGTATATAATTTCTAAGGAAAATCTTTCCTAGTTATTTTCATTCCTGTAAAATATCGTTTTCGTAATCTTCCTAATCGATTATTTTACGCGTCATTTTCCCTTCTGGTTTTTACGCTCTATCAATTCACCAGCGCGTGTATTTCCTTTTTTTTTCGAACATAATATGACGCAAGTAAAAATAATTATTATTTCATACCGATAATTACAATAAAAAACCAGATTATACGTGTTGCGCTAATAAACGTACACGGCGATTATCTTCGATAATGCCAAAGTAATATAAAATTGAATGGACTGAGCAACAAATAAAATTGCGCACTGTAATTAATATTGCGACGATAGTTCGATGATAAATTAGAAATGCAACTTGCACGCGCAAAACGTATTATGAGCGTGAAATTTTTACAGAAATAACCCCGTAATGTAGACGAATACGCGAACAAATAAAACCCGCGCATATTATTATAAATCCATTTAGTGGGAGTTATATAGACAAGATTTTCAGATCACTCATGTCCTATACACGTTTAGCTGTATAGCCAAATTAATACATTTAAAGACAAAAATATGCAACGTCGACAACTCTTACAAAACCGATCAACTCTACGGAGAAGTTATACAGGTAATAAGAGAATGGCCAACGATCCGCTGAACGTTTTTTTCTTTTATTGGTTAGCCGTTGTCAATGATTATTTATACGCTATTCAACATCCAAAATACCGTCAAAGCTGTTATCAATCAAGGTAAATGTGTTTATGCACTTGTACGTATGCGTGTACACCGTTTATTATGAATAAAATCATATTCAAACAAAATATAATATCTTATAACTGGGGCTGGGATTTATACGCATTAATACGGTTTTTTTTTTTACGCAACTTTCGATTACCGCTAATGTCAGTTACGTCCGCGAATTAGCTCGTGTTGAGATAAATGGAGGTGGTTTTTTTTTCCTGCATATTTTCGCATGCATTGCATATAATGAATATTATTGCATATTTCAATTACAAAATCGCGAAAAATGCACGTTTTATAGTATATATAATTGTCACGTAAAATGTCATCGCTATACGAAAATGTCCAAAATTTAATTTAATCAATCTTGTTTTACCGAAAGTTTATATTGCACGATTAATAGACACACTGGAAGTATATGTCTAAACTCTAAAGGTTAGTGTGTGTTCGACGGTCGTGGTCGTATATCGTGTTTGGTGTACTTTTACTCGACAATAGTTTAGAGACCGTTGAAAAGACCATATGCAATCATTTCCAAAACAAAAGAACAACTGCCGAAAAACTCTGCGAAAATTTTAAAAAACGTGTTAGAAAAAAATACAGGACTGAAATCTATGTTTATAGATGGGGGTGGGCGGTGGACGAGAAGACGAGCGAAAGAAACGCAGGGCGCCTACCCAATACAATCTCGTTGCGTCAGGTCGGGTCGGGGTCTCGGGATAACGAGGTCCCGTCGTATTATCGTCCTCGTTATCCCGTATACCGCGAGCAAACGAACGAATCACGGCCTTTTCGGTCTCTGCGCGACCCGCCCGCGCATATTCGGGGGTTCGGTGTACGATGCACACGTACGTACTCACGCTGCAGGTGAATATATCCGGTGTGTGTGTGTGTGTGTGTGCGCGTTTGTCTGTTGTGCTCCGTCGTAAAACGGACAACCCGATGATTGTGGCAGGGCGCGAGAGACGATAATAATAATAATTATTAAAACAATATTGTTGTGTGCATACCTGACCTATACGGTGTTGTACGCTCGTCGTGTCGGGACGTCATCGCGCGGGCTGCCGACACACTGCGCGCGCGATTACCGTTTAGGTTTTTTTTTATTTTCATACAATTTTTTTTTCCTCTTTATACCGACGACGGCGTGCCACCCCGGCGCTGCGGATCTTTCGGAAGACCTCCCAGAAGCTCGTTTTCTCCGGTCCGTTTTTTTTTTCCTTTCCGCCGCCGCACGTATTACAGGTATACATATACATTACATATCATTTCTCTCCTTCTCTCCTCTTCCACCTCCCGATTCTTCTACTCATCTAGTCCGTGCGTTTTAGCCCGGTCGTTGTTTGTTTGTTTGTTTTTTTTTTTTCGGATCGTTTGGACCGACGACGACGCGAAACCGTCAGCCCGGCCAGATACAAAATAATAATAATAATGATATTGTTATTATATACCTACGTAATATATTATATCATCGTTATTATTATTATTACCTACCTTTCGACGAGATTAGCTTTACACACACACACACACACACACCCAGAACACCTATACAATATACAAGGTACGCCGTCCCACGTGCACAACACCCGGCAGGGTGGCTAGACGTAAATCGTCTGTTTAGCGTGTACATTATAAAACATATTCGGGTATGTATAACGTTATATAGGCACAATCCATCTACCTGCTTGTCTCTATACCTACGCGATCGTTACCACGTTATTTATACAAACAAGACGAATCGAATTAAATATAAATTACACGGCTGTTGCAGTGCGTTAGACACGAACGGTCGTCGTGTGCGTCTGCCGTCGGAGGAGGTCCGCGCGATTGAGTTGGCGTGGAAAACTATGCGTGCGCACTGATCGCGCGCGCGCTAAATTAAACCCCGAATATTGTTTTTCTGAAGCTTTCGCAGCCCGTCCGAATGATTCGTTGATTGTGGCCGGTGACCATGGGCGCCGAGGACACGAGGTCGCTAGAGCCGCAGCCTCCATTGACGATGTTGAGCCAGCACTCGGCCTCCAAAGGTAATTATTGACGAAATACGTATTTTGTGCTAAACGGTTATTCTAAATGCTTAAGTTTTCCGCTGTATATTAAAAATGTTGATAAAGTATATTATTGTTATTTGGTAAAATACACTATCAAGCTATGCATATTATGATAAAACTGTTTAGCATAAGCAGTCGTTATCATGAAAAACGTGTTAATAACGTAATGGCTACAGATATTTAAGGTTGAAACCTGGCGGTTAATACCATACCAGTGCGTATTAATGATAAATTACCATAGTTTCTTGAATGTAGAAAACTTTAACCATGTTACCTACAAATTAAATTTAATTGTTATCGAAGGACAAAACCGATTCGTAGGTTAGTGTAGGTAGTGTAGATTGGCATTTTAAGTTTTTCGCAAAATCGAAAAACTCAAAAATTTCAAAAGCAATACGTTCGGCCTCCAACGATACTTCAAAAACCTAGCGCCTATACCAGTGAATGTTACCCTTGAAATTGAAAGCGGTTATAAAATAAATGCAATTCGTTTCGTTTCACCGTTCACCGCACTGGTTACAACTGGGTCACAGATTTTCGTCAGTCAATTTAACTTATTTGCGGTCGTTTCGTTTTAAATGTTTAATATTAAAATTAAAATATAGGTTAGGTATATTTTCGTTTTATACACCTACACCCTGCAGGTACAAAATATAATCGAAATTTTTTTAATAATTTTTCAACTATGAGATAAGTTTTGAACGAAGATCTTCGTTTGCACCTGTAACTACGGGTTTTTAACCGTACCAAAACGGTTCACCATTCAATTTGCACGTTACTAATTTCGTTTCCCTCGTTTTTTCCAACGTTTAACAATTCATATCATTCCTTATATTACTATTCTTACTCTCTTCTATCCTCGTCCCTCGAGCACATTTCCCGCAGTCTTCTGCGCGTTTCCATCCGCCTTTCTTCGTACCGGCCTCTTGGTCTTCTTCTCTCGATTTTTCCATCTTCTCCGGTTTGTGTTTATTCACGGCCGCAACCCGTTCCGCTCTTTTACACTCGATAGACACATCAATATTCGGGTTTTTATATAGCTAACAGTATATAATATTTATTTGTATTTATAGAGCGCTTCCAGAGTGTATCGAAATCGCAAATAGAGGCAGCCAGCAGTTGTAGTGGCGGCAACGAACACGACGCGCGTCGGCTGACGCACGGAGAGAAGCGTTGCGGATTTTCAATGTCTTCCGTCGTGCACGTGTACAAAAGCGTGGAAAATAATAATAAAAAAAAAGAAAAAAAAAGCATAATACACGTGCGGGCGATGGTCGTCGAGACTGGTACGATTCGCCACCGGTACGACTTTTGTTCACGTTTACAGGCGTGTACACGTCCCCACCATCGGCACCCGTTGCACGGACATCGTGAGACTGTGGCAAACGTACGGGTTGCCCCCCTTCCCCTCGCCATAAATGACGCCATTGGAAGACGCTTCTGCAGCCGAGTGTATCACTGTGATAATGACTGGGGTTGAGTCCCATATAATAAGAGAACGGTCAACTGATTAGATAGCGGCCATTTTTCGTTAGAATTTTTTTCGCATTTTTTATGTTTTTCGTATAAAATGATTATAAGTCGGGCTAGGACTTATAAAGTTATATTTAATAAAATATGATGAAATGCACATTTGGATGCAACATTATCACTATGAATTTGAATACTTGGATATTGAAATTTCGGATTTCGAACAAATACTTAACTGAAAAATGTTATTTTTAGATTTTTAGATTCTGAGCGAAGTTTCATTATTTTTGTTTTTTTCATTTTTTGTGTAAACAAATTTTCTACTAAAAATGTTGCTCCATTTAAAAAATGTATGGGAACTTCCTTATAGCGTACGCATTGAGGTGGTCATGTCTCGATTTTTCTAGTAGTTTTCTTAATAAATGGGCAAAATTGACAATTTGTCGTATAATTTTTGTAATATCCGGTTTATCTTGGCGACAATGAAAAAAATAAGACAAATAATACTTCGCTCACAATCTTCTTACGTTGGCAATGGTTTATCGTTATAAATCAAATCACTTTACACAATATTAGGATGTTATGTAAAGTCCTACCTTCTAAATTTCCTCCTAAAATAGCGGTACACTCGTCAGCAGTATTAGCCCTCGTTCTTTTAAACGCGTAAATTCAAAATATTCAAATGCGCTCATTCCGAAAGAACAACACGTTAAGTTAGAAAGTCATTCAGAATTTTAACCGACTAATTAACTTTAAAATTACCGACAGTAAGTATACATTTCAACTCAATTCTAACTTTCTCACTAGTTAGCGCCCAGTTTTGCTAGTGCCACTTTTGTCCGTCACCGTTTCCCCATTTACTATTGTCTATACGCCTATTTCCCGTACGGGAAATATTATCGTATTATAATATTATCGTCTCAATCCATTCACGCTCGTTTTTATCGCAAAACTCCGTCGTTATTACGTTGCCGTTTACATATTCGATTTCTAATCCCGTTCAACCCGGCCACACCGCACGTTCAACCTAAACATTATATATTTACATTTTTCGACGAGATTATAGTATACAGATAGGAGGTATCTACTTAATAACGCGTGTGTATTATAATTTATAGTTTATAATTTTAGTATTCTCTCGTTTCCCCGACCCGTAAAACATACCATCCATTTACCCGATCCTACCTCTACCTACGTCGTTGTCGCCGCGTTTTTTATCATAACAAGACGAGCCGAATTAAATATAAATTACACGGTTGTAAACGCGAAGACAGCGCCGCCGTCGTGTGTGTCTGTCGGAGGTCCGTATCCGTCTGCGCGGTGCACGAGACGGTTCACGGCGGTACATAATAATCATGTGCGATTAGGTGTACGGCCACCCCGATTACGAAAAAAAATCAGCGGTGGAAATGCGGAGACGGTAGTTCGAACTTTAGAACCACGAAAAAAAAAAAAAAAACAATAATAGAAAGATGTCTCGATTAAAAATATGGTTTGGGTACAAAGAGTAAACGAAGAATGTACCAGGTGATCCATTTAAGTGGGTGAACTCATTACCTCGTCAAGTATTAACAAGCTTAGAAACGAGCTGCTGCACTACAATTGTATACTTATATGCTCTACTCCAACCCAAACTCGAATCCCTCGGTCGGTCTATCAAATAATTACTGAAAATCCTGAGATAATAGCGTAACGCCAAGTATATTGCCCGCCCCTGCAAAGGTTTGATTGCGTTCGTGCGTTCGTCGCGATTACAATGTCCGTCGACAGCGTAATAAACTCCGTACACCGATAACAGGCGACGCGACGCGTGATGGTGGAAAATTCGCGAAATCTCAAAAAAAAAAAAAACAAAAAAAAAAAACCCCCCGTACTTTTCGTCATCGTTGTTTTTCTTTTTTCGGGGCGAAACGGCGACCGGTCCCGCGCCCCGGATTTTCGATATCCCCTCGGACGTACGGTCGGTCCGAACCACGCGGGCGCCGACGACGCGCTTCCGTATCGGCCCGATCGCCGCAGCACGCGCCCACACTGATCAGTGTGGGCATTTCGCGTCTGGACCCGCGATTCGGCCGGGCCGGTGTCCGAGCCGTCGGCGCGAACGACGGCAGAGTAGACACGGCGGCGTGGACCGCGCGCGCGAACGGAAATTATTAACAATTATCGCGACGCGGACCCCGGAGCGCGGACGACACCCGCCGCGTGTGGTGCCGCCGCCGCCCGGCGTCGCGCAATGTTCGCGGCGAGACCGTAGGCGCGGCGTCCGGCGCGCCCGCGCGATATCCGATTTATACGGGACGACCGTCTCTCGCGGGCGACCGTACCGCGCGCGCGTGTAACATTTCACGCACGGTTATTTTTATTATTTGTTTTATTCTTCTTCGCCGTATATTTTTTTATCACGCGTTTTATCGTGCGTCGCGCACCCGCGTCACAATTGCCCGCGGTGATGACCGGACGGCCGGGGCTCGGCCGGACATTCGCGCCCGCCGACAACGATAGAAAACAATGACGGTAATAATAGCCGCGATCTCGTTGCGGGCTTTCGAACGCGTAACGTTCGCGCGTACCCGGGGCAACGGCGACGTTATAGAAAGAAAACGAAAAAAAAAAAAAAAACAACAAACAAACGAAAAACCGTTTTACGGTGTTTACCCTGTTTGCCCCCGGATCCAGGTCCGGACCGGCGACGTCGGCCGTTCCCTCCAAAACGCTCGATTCTCGTTTCCGCCCGCATTGCGGCGTTGCCGGCCGTCGGTCCGTGTCGGGATAATTCATCTCGCCCGTGGTAATCCCTGAATCGATCCAATCGAAATCACTTGTAGATATTGGGCGTGTGCGTTGTCGGGCTCGGAGTCGACTGCGAGTGTTGTGACAACAGCGACGAAATTCCGAGTATTACGACGACGCGGCCGCGCGAATCCGTCCACCCCCGTGTAAATCGATTGCGAATCGTCAATAATAAACTTATATTTCGGATATATTGGAATTTTTATACGCGTACATTTTTAAATGGAATTCACAGCGAGCGGTAAACGCGGCGAGGAAAAAAAATGATTCTAACCGACGGGTTCAGATTTAATTTCTTCCGCACGGATCGGTTTAAACAAATATTCCCTGGGTAACTCGCTAAATGGATCCAAAACTATAATTATTTAGATAGGTAGGTAGAAATTGATTAATAGCGGAAACGAAAACCGCACCTTTTCGAGATTTCTGTTTAAAAAAAAAAAAGCGTTTACAGACCGGGGGGGGGGGAGGGAGGGGGAACACATACACACACGTCGTAATATATTAAAATCAACGTAAAATCAATCTAAATGCGCCGACGAAAACCATGAACAGTACAGGACCCGGAGCTCGGTAGATTGGTGACAGAGACCTTAGAGAGGACCGGTAACCTGTGTGAATCGACTTGCAGTGTAGAAGGTCGGAGAGACCGTGCGGCGGCTATAACGGACCGGTAAGTTGAAAATGGATAAAAACGCGTTTGGGATTGGGTTGTTTTACGGGCGTTCGGTATGGGTAATCCAGAGTCCGCACGTCGGTTATAATCGTTGCGAATAATCACCGCGGATACGCCATATCCGGATTATATTAGCTTTGTTCGTTTTTCAAAAAAAAGTGCACAATTTTTTAAACTAGATTTTACTCTATTGTGTAGATTAGTAACCGAAACGTTTGACCGTGTGGGTTGTGTATTCCTTATCAAAAGTACGGTTTTTTTTTTTTTACGAACGTAGTTATTATGCGTTTCTAAGTCTGCGAACGCGTAGAATTTAATCGAAATCGTAAATCATCACTCTTCTCGGTATCGTAACAGACAAAACTTGTTTTTAAAAATATTTTTTACTGTTTCGTTAACGAGATAAAACAAAAACAAATATAGTTCATACCTATTGATAAAAATTAATACTAACACCCTGTAATCAAAAAAATTAACTCTTTTCTAAAAGTATAAAGAATTCCGGAAATTAACGCGTTAATTTGCCATAGCTTTTTGTTTTTTTAATTTTTTTTTAAATCGCATTTGAATACATAAAAGTGTTTGGTCGATCTGTACTCAAAGATTAATCAGCGTTAACAACCACTGACGGAGGACCGCGATTGAAAATCTGCCGATCTCAAACGCCGAAGTTTCAAAAATCGAGTTTGCCCGCGATCTCGCCATTTGATAAGTAAATCAACTTGACGGTAATAATTACAACGGAAATCGCGTGGCAAAATACTAAAAACGAAAAAGTTTCGGGGGGGGGGGGGGGGCGGGCGAGTTTCACGCGTTCTTTTGTCTTTTTCTGCGAAAAAAAAAAAAACCAAACGTTATAATTCGTGAAACCCGAATTAACCGGTGTAGTCAACGTGGTTGAAAAAAAAAATAGCGTTCGTTATATTCGTTTTGTACTCTTCGCGGCATCGGAACTAATTCGGTTTATTAATAAAACACGCTCGTCGGTCGTCGCAGACGAGACGCGCGCGTCATAATTCTTACGCGTAGCGACCGTCGGACTGTTTCATATAGTTCAGAAACTCGTTCTTTGTTCGAACGTTATTAATTAAATCGGATTTCGAGATCGCATCGCTCTGCGCGTGTTATTAAGCACCGTAAATCGGTAATTTGGCCAAAATCCAACGGCCCGACGATCGTATCCGTTGAATTAAATGTTTAAATTAATCGCGGCGTCGGGCGTTACGTCGCAACGTGCACGCGGAATTAAAATAGAACCGGAGATTTAACGCAGATTACGGATTATTATTGGACCGGTAACACTGCACAGCACCGTCGCCGTTTTTATGATTACCGCCGCGTTTCACGCGCCCGACGAAACGAGACTGTACATCACAATCAGAGCGGTTTCGTCGGTCGAAACCGTTTCCGCGCAACGCGCGAATTTAATTTTTAATTGGAACGTTACGGTGTTTCTGTTAATTTTTTTTTTTTTCTGAAACATTTTTCGTACTCAAACGCACGATTGTTTTACAGACGCTTACTTACAAATGGCGTTGGGAAGT